CCTGCACGTTACCCTGGCCCGTACATGCGTTGCACTATATCTCCATGTCTTCTAAATTTAGAAATCATCTGGATCGCCTCTAACATTTATTAATAAACCCATCATAGTCGTTGTTGCTAATCGTATTTGGATTTATGGATTGGTTTATCATATTAGCAGTCTAAAATGCAAACATAATTTAGATAATAAGATTAAAAATTTAGGTACTATCAACTGCACTAGTAAAATTACTAAATCCTCAGGTAGTTGTTGGTTGAACAAACTTTTAAAATCAAAACTCCGTAGCCTACTAGAATTAACATTAAACAAATATTTCTGAATTGAAATTTATAATTAAATTAGGCGTCTCGGATTCTTTAACGTTATAAATTTCTGATAATTTTGAACCACCTAAAACAACAATGCCTATTTTTCCACTGGCCAATCTTCAATCAACACTATAACTATTTAAACAATAGTTTCAGGATATCTTCATAAAGCATTGTCATGACTTGACAATCACGTAATATGATTGATAAAATTAATGAAACTATTAACAAAATCGGTCAGCAAATTGACTTATAATTATCACTAGTGTTGTTTTTCTTCATTCACTACAGATGATTACAGTATGTTTCTCTATCAGTTGCTCATTCAGTAAATATCTCAAAACTTTGTCAGTCTAATTGATGGTTTAGCGACACAATCATGCATGCAAATAATCAGTATAAGCAGTCGAGCAAATATCCTGCAAACTGAAAACATCAATGTCGAATTTACCCCAACACTGACTAAGGTTCAAGCTATTATCATAGGCATGAGTTGGGAGTGCACTCCCCTTGGTTACAACTTATGTTCTCCCTGATAATCACATGAGCATCACTCACTATTAATCATCTTGTAAAAAATTATTTAGCCAAATACACCTTGCAGCACCACATCACTTAGTAATATGACACACAGGTTTAACTAATTTCAATAACGTATAACCACTATATCTCAATTAAATCGTGTTCCGCCTTATGATAAACTGCATACTTTCAACTAACTTGTATACCCAATCAGCCGGCAAGTATAGATATAAATAAATAGTCTGCCGCAGATCAGAACATTGAGTCTAGAGCATGTCTCTTAAGAATACACTCATGTTTAACGATTTGTTTCTAGCTATCTGTCCAAAATTCACATAATTATCACTCACGTATTTAAATTTTGTTTTGATAACCATTCACGTGTATTAGTAGTATTACTAAATTCTATCACGGTCAGGTAAACATGGGGTTGAGAAAATCTCCCCGTAACTAAAACCGTATCAAACTAACTGGAACACTAGTTGGAATTCTTCTCCGCGGTAATACTTTTGTTCCTTCAGTTAGCCTACTAATACAGATGCAATTGGAAATCGACTCATATGGACAACTTACCGGCATAATCGTTATTTGATTTCATAAGTTAGACTAAAAGTAGTACTAATATTAACATTTCTACAATATTCATAACTTTAATATTTCTAAACACAAAATACATACTACCTATACGTTAAGTTGTCAACCAACGGCTATTACACACGCATCGTTTTATTATTACTATTATTGTAATCTCAATTTTTTTTATTGCTCAAATAATCACTCAAATTTTCATTGTAAGCGTTTTAAGCATGAAGGCAGATATTTTAAAATTATTACATGTATTTCCCGACCAGATGCTGCCGTCTTTTTGATTTATCTTTCAGCTTGTCATCACCCGGAGGATTCTTATTATCCTTGGTAACCTCCGGCGCGCGACGACCCCATCCAATTTGGTATCGAACCAACACTACGTTGATTCTGGTGGGAGAGTAGTGTAGTGGCATTGGACCATAACCACACTATCCTCAAAGCTGAATACGAGATTACTCGGAAAATAGGTATTCAATATTTAACGCGAAGAAATACCTAACGATGGAGAAGGCGCGAATAATGAATTGAATAGACTAGAGTTGATCGAACGGCATGGCTCGGCCATGCAGGCGTGGTCTCTGCTGAATGTTACCTTATATCTTCTATTCATATTAAATATATTGTTCTTTCTCTAGCCTAACCTTGTTCTACGTCATGTATTGGTAATTGATACGATACAGTGAGTTGGTGTAGTTGATGGTGTGACTTCCACGTAAGATCTTATAGATTAGGCAGTCATATCATGACAAATCCACAGATTTAGGATTAGGTCTATTATTAGAGCAGTACTAATATCATAGTAGACCACAATTCTACAAACCTTATCAAAAGCTTTTGAGAAATCTAGGTAGATGATATCAACCTTCCTCTTGTGATCGAGGATGTTTGTGCATCTATTCGCCGCAGTCAGCAGGTTACTTATACAAGAGTAACCCTTTCTGAAACCATGTTGTTGGTGTGAGAATAAATTTAAGGACAGTAAATAATCATTTATACCATCGCATATCAGGGACTTCATGATTTTTGAAGGTATTGAGAAAAAAGCCACCGGTCGATAACTTGAAGGTTCGCTGCGTCGACCTCCTTTGAAACTTGATGTGATGTGAGCCAGCTTCCAATTTTCCGGTATTTTTCCTCAGCTTAGCGAGTGTGAGAACATCACGCAAAGCGGCGTTGCCAGGATTGAGGCTGCTTCCCTTAGTATGACAGAATGAACCATACCCAGGCCAGGAGAAGTGTCAATTCTTAAGTGCTGCAGTTTCTGGAAAACCAAGTCAGCGCTCACGTTCACTTCGGAAAGTCCTTTGGAGTTGCAGATGAAGCTTTCGTCAGTATAGTTTATGTGGGTCGGTTGAAATGTCCCAGAGAATTGTTCAGTCAAGAGTTTAGCGGCGTCGCCGTCGTCGTTGGTCGGGCCGTTAAGACCTGGCAGTTGGGAAACTCCAGTTTTGGCTTGACGAAGAGAGGCTGCATAACGGAATAAGCTTTTCGGATTAGAGAAAAATTTGTCCATAAGCTTTTTCTGGTACTGAAGCCTGTCATCTCTTATAGCCTTCGTGCATATGTTTCTTATATGTTTGTACTGCCTGTACGCTCCGTTGTTGTCAGTTCGTTTGTACTCTGCCCAACAGTGCCTTTTGCGGCACTCGTTGTTGTTATGTTGAGATCCTTCTAGTTTAGTAATGATCTATAGCATCATTCAAACACTAAAAAAGATTAAATAAACCCCGAGTATTCTTTTAAATAAGCATCAGACAGTTTCGATTCAATCGCTTTCTGCAGTAAATTACACAATTAATGCCTCAAGCTTCGAACCGTCTAAATGTATTTTGACTCTATTTTATATTCTCTCCTAGGCAGGTGCAATGACAGTAACGATAACGAACGTATAAAATCAATCGTAGAACAGTAAGGAATCAAAATATTAGGAACTAATTACTTAATCATGAAAATCCTGATAACCCAAAAGTAATATTCTGTTCACAAAGGTAAAGATTATCATTCATCAGGTGAATTGAAAGTGAATAATCATTAGTATTGTTATTGTCATTATTCACGAACATTTTATGAGTACATATGTGTTGTGAAGAAATTATTTCGGGTTTATTCAAAAATGTTATAATACACAAGTTTCAATAACGTTAGCATTATATTTTTCATATTTAAAAAAGAGAGTAATAATAATAGAACAATAATGATAAATCAGGTCATGCAGTAGACAAATCGAAATCGTTTCGAGTTATCTATCGTATACCTCCATCATTTCCCGACGGAGTCCGTTCCCGTCTCCTATATATAGCTGAAGCAATTGAAATTCGTACATATAACCCCAATTTATGTGTACAGAAGAAATACGTGACCTCCTATCCCTTCAATGGCCAGTTATAACTTAACTAAAAAAATTTTTAAATTTTTTTATTTTTTAAATTTTATTATTATCATTATTTATTTTATTCTATTTGTGTTATCATTAACGTTATTTCCACATCCATTATTTGTTTGTAATTTTTCGCCTCTCTGTATTTTTCACTATCTAATTATTTACACACATCTTATTACGTAATGATTTTAATGTTTTGTGATTACTATTCCTAGTCTATTTCCCCATGTTTATTTGACCTTCTATTTCCAACGATTAACTATTGATAAGAGTTTTGTTATTGTATTTTATTATTCTCACTATTATCAGTTCATCTGTCTTCCTACTATCAACTTGTACTTTTACCTATTATGTGTAGTGACTTATTCTATTTCATTGTGATTATTGACTCATATTGCCTTGATTGGTTTAAAATTTCGTATAATTATTCATGTATATTAGAGTAAAGCCTGATGACGATCTAATTGAAAACAATTGTTCGCTTATATGTGTTGTTCTAATTTTCACAATGGGAATCTTTAATATTCTAAAATCAGGTTCTGCGTAATTGAGAAGAAGGAAAGGAAGAAAATAAGAGGATAGAAATAAGTGTTTCCAGAGCTTTAGGCTTAACGTTAAGCCGGGTTTGAAAAGAGAAATGGTATAGACTTATTTTTATTTCTAATAGCAAAATAGAACTTAAATCCCGAAAAAGCACTTCGCTTGATGAATGAGTGGAACTTGTCATTCTAACGCCTATGGAGATTTTTGTCTTAACTAGCACTTTAGGGAGTTGTGATTTACAGTAGAAACAGGGGATAATTAAATTTTTCGAACCACAGTGGGTATAATTATAGCAGATCTATGCACCCGAATGCAGTATGAAAAGCTTAGTATCGGACCTGAGGTAGGCATGGAAACTGAAGTATAAAAATTTTATATGGATGATCAGAACACAAAAATGTATCAGTCTAGTGGTTTCAGGCTTTCAAAGGTGGTTTAGCATTAATCGGTTCATGATTTCAAAGAAGTTAAAAAGTCTACACAACCCTATACTGAAAATGTTCATGCGCTCACTAATTGCTAGATTCAAGAGGAAATTTCCGGATTTCCAATGAAAAGCCGTGACCAGTGGAGTTCAAGCTCTATATAATGTGAGATAGTTACCCACCCAAGATAGTGAGATACAGTTGCAGAACATTATAAATGGATTAAAGCTAGACATCAACACTGTTGGGTGCCAACTCAGTGGTCAAGAGTCTAATGTCTTCCTTCCGATTCCAGTTGCAAAGAAGCGGATGCTCATTGTCAAGAAGTGTCATACTATGGCAAAACGGCAGTTCAGTGATTTCAGGTATATAATAATAATAATAATTTGTTCTCAAATAACAGTCTGTTACATGAGGCATGCCAGTTTACAGGCAAGATCAAATTGATACAAATGATACAATATACACTGTAATAAATTACATAGGGTCTTGAGTAGGCTTCGTATATTAGCGAATTGTCTAGTTTGCTTGTAATAGGATTTCTGGGTAGGAAGTGAAACCAATTCAACGTTCGTAACACGACTTAAAGAGGTATTTTGCGTGATGAGTCAACATCAATACCATAAGTTCGTGACATCCCACTAAATGTTGGTTTAAAATTGCCCGGTCGGTGATTTCATTGAAAACATATGAAAACTAATGGCGGAGCAAACTGGATGTGGTGTACTTTAGAGCTGATTGAAGTTATACTTATTGAGAGGATTTAAAAGCACACACATCAGTAATTTCTAATATAATGTTTAAACATCTAAGTTCCAAAGATACATCTCAAAATAATATTTGGAGATTAGACTGTGGAAGTGACAGTAAAAAATAAGCACTTCGAAAATCCCTCACATGTGTCTTAATAATAATATATTTCTGCATCAGCAGGTACACGCCATTTTTACAGACATGATCTATAAATCACGGAATTTGTTGGCGCACAGCATGTTTCCCAACTTTTTAAGTTTATAGTTTTTATAAAGTAAACTCGTAGAGTGCTTGATGACCTTGAGGAGACGCGTTTGTTCCAGACGGTAGAAGTTCCATACCCATGTCCTCAGAGCAAGATTCTGAAGAAAAAAAGAAAGGGAAACAGAAGAGCACCGAGGCACTTGGATATGAACGCCAAACGTTGCTTAACATTGTGTAGTAGAACAGATTGAGGTATAATAAATTAGATTAAATCCATATTATCTCTTGTTAGAGTAAAATGAAGTCAGAGGCTACATATAAGTGAGTGTAGTAATAAAGAACAACGAGTTGTGATGTTTAAAAAGTTGAAGTAAGCTCACATGAAGGAAGGGAAGTCAAGGTTGGTACAAGGAAAGTGGTTTATTAGAAGGGAGTGTGCATATAGAGGGTGAGGTGTTATGAGTAGTAATAACTATGTCTTTTATTGTATAATTTTTTATTTATTTCTTTTTATGTCGATCCGATGCTAACCACACAATCCTAGTGTAAAAATCCGAGTTAGCATGTTATAAATTGTCTTAGTAGAATAGCTAATCCAACATAAAATTGGAAACATGAGTCTGAGTTGTGAGCGTAGGAAGACAATCTGTATGACAGAATAACTGAATTGCTTTCAATCATAAAGAGCTCGAAACGTACAAAATGTTCTGCCCCACAAACACGAGTGGATTGAAGCCATCGCTCTCACCATCAATGCTTGCTGGTCAGTAACTCCACCCTCCCTCCTTGTGTGATAATAATAATATATTTCTGCATGTGCAGGTACACACCGTTTTTACAGGCATGATCTATAAATTACAACATTTGTTTATTCACAAAATGTTTCCCAACTTATTAAGTTTATAGTTGTTATAAAGTGAAATCGTAGAGCGCTTGCTGCAAACTATGACCTTGAGAGGATGCGTACATCAAGCTCGTTCCAAACGTCAGAAGTTTCATAACTGTTCTCTCAGAGCAAGATTTTGAAGAAAGAAAAAAAAGAGAAACAGAAGAGCAGCAAGGCACTTGGATATGAACACCAAACGTTGCTTAATATAGTGTAGTAGAACGGACAGAGGTATAATAAATTAGAATAAATTCATATTATGTCTTGTTAGTGAAATGAAGTCAGATGCTACATATAAGTGAGTGTAGTAATAAAGAACAACGAGTTGTGATGTTTAAAAAGTTGAAGTAAGCTCACATGAAGGAAGGGAAGTCAAGGTTGGTACAAGGAAAGTGGTTTATTAGAAGGGAGTGTGCATATAGAGGGTGAAGTGTTAAGAATATTAATGACTACATCTTTTATTGTCTAACTTTTTTTTCTTTTTTTGTTTTTCCGATGCCAGCCACACAATCCTAGTGTAAAAATCCGAGTTAGCATGTTATAGGTTGTCTTAGTAGAATAGCTATTCCAGCATAATATTGGAAACATGAGTTTGAGTGGTGAGCGTAGGAAAACAATCTATATCACAGATTGATTGACTTATTCTCAGTCATGAGGAGCCTGATACATACAAAATGTTCTGTCCCCACAAACATGGGTGGATTGAAGTTATCGCCCTCACCATCAATGCTTGCTGGTCAGTAACTCCACCCTCCCTCCTTTTGTGATGTTAGGCTCATTTGGCATTATTTTTGTATATACGTCATACCTCGCACAATCCTCTGTTTCACAAACTGTTGGAAAGCACTATTTCTATAAGTACCATTTTACAAGCTTATCAGGCAGTTACAAGCTATGGACTGTGGGTAAAGCATCGATACAGTGCCTCTGTTGACTATAGTATAAAGTATAGTTTGCCAATCAGAGTATAAGCGTTGAGAAGGGTATATTGTAGGATAGTTGTTTATTTAAGCAGGCGGAAAAAGTATAGAAGTATATGAGTTGTGGATATGGGAACGAGTGGAGAAATAATATTAATTGCTAGTCAACATAGTGTACTGAAGAGTAAAAAGTTAATACAGGATAAACAGGAAGGAACTCACAGTAACTTGGTGCTGATTTTATTTTCTGTTGTCCTAACCAGTTGATTGGTAACAGGCTCCATAGATGCAAGACCACTGGTAGTAGGCAGCCGGTTGTGCGGTCCTCTTGACGTTTTAGGGTGGTAGTGAGTGGCCCTTATCGACCGAGTTTAGTTTAACAGTAATGATAAGTCCAGTGAGTTATCTGTCTACTTCAAGTGAACAAATAGGGTGGAAAAAGTGATTAATACAACTGCAAAGTAGAAAAAATAAGGCAAACTGACCTTGAAGTCCATTTTGGTCTAGACATGGAGAGAGCCTATGATGTCTGAGTGGGGCGCAGATGTGTTCGTACGTGCAAGATCAGTGCAAGTGAGGGCTTGATCAAGCAGTTTTACAAACGTATGTAATTCATCTGCCATGCGAGTTTCGAAGGGAAGACTGTTCCATATTATTGCATACTTGGTAAGAAAGAAGTTTTCCCGAGTTTTTGATCTGTATTTCTCAACGTTGACCGTAGATACTTTGTTTCGAAGTCCGTATTCATGTGAATCTCGGGCAAGAATTATCTTACATGTTAAATAAGTAAGGTTTTTGAGTAGCTTGAATTAGAGAATCAAATTAGACCTAAGCCTTCTCTTCCAAAGGGGTGCTATTCCTAAAATTTGGTATCGGGAACTGTAGTCAATGACTGAGTCAGCCTTAAGTACTTTGCGGTTGAAGTCTCGTTGTATTCCTTCCACCTTTAGTATATCAGATAGGTATAGGATGAAAAATAAGAACGAGCAGTATTCAAAGATAGGTCTTACACAAACTTTGTAAAGAAGGATTTTAGATTCATTTTGATAGAAATTACAAAGAATGAATCCAAGCAATTTCCGCATTTTGGATGATTTGGCTGAGATGTGTTCAGAGAAATTAAGACTGTGTGAGTATTGTACCCCTAGGTCAGTTACTGATGCCAGTCTGGGCAGTGTGTACTTTCGAAAACAATACTGACATCCCCTACGGCTAGGCACTAAGTATTAGTTTGACTCGTTGGTGGGATATTGTTGTCCGCAATACTGAAGAAAATTAAAAACCGGAAATGGTTTCCTTTCATTTTGCCGATAACATCATAAAGGACAGTTAGGAATGAACATGCGGATAGTTAGTCACAGGAGGCAGCAACAGTTATTTTAGCTAAGAAAAAACGAACTTCGGCTTTGGATATCTTGAATACAAGTCAAAACAAAACCGATTTCCATTTTAAAACATAAGACTAACCATCTTGACTGAAGAAATACACTGACTAGAGTAGAAGCAGCAAAAACCTAAAAAACAATGCTGATTCGAAGTAAATTTCACACCAACATGTATAACATTACACTAACTGCGGCATCTTAGCGTTACTGACCAGCAAACATGAAGGTGGGGAGATAACTTCAATCCACCCATGTCTGTAGGGCAGAACATTTTGTTTAATTACGGCTCCTTATGGTTTAGTGGGATGCCACGAACTTATGGTATTGAAGCTGATCTATTCACGCGAAATACCTCTTTAAGTCGTGTTACGAACGTTGAATTGGTTTCACTTCCTACCTAGAAATCCTATTACAAGCAAACTAGACAATTCGCTAATATACGAAGCCTAATCAAGACCCTATAATAACTGGGGGGAAAATATTTTTTTAAAAAAAAACGAAAGAGGCTCTAATAGCTTCGATATTATAGGGAAGACAGCCAAATGTATATCACAATACTGCTTCTAGCACTATATTTTATTTTATAATCACACATAATCTTATACTATCAGCTCTTTTCCGAATCGCCCCCATTTGTCAGTTGTATGTCCACTCACACCTTGTCAACACTTATTTTCTTTAACCTATTAAAATGCTCTTTCTTAACATATACCTTAATAAAGGAAAATTAGACTGAGTAATCATACCTTAAGCATTCTTTCATGAATATTGGCTACTCTGCCTCTCGTGTTTTCTTTTACTTGCTCCCTCTTTCAGCCCCCTTGAGATATGGAACTGGTGACTTCATCCTGCACCATCCTTAAAGCCTTGGATATCCCAGAAGGAAATAAGATTGCGATTTTTAGAAGCCCATACCTTCAATGGACCTATTGTTGACCATCAGTCGCACATTCGCAACGCGACTTTCATGAAGCGCGCCAACTGTAATACTGATTTAAACCATCGACATTGATATCGTATAAATTATCAACCCAGCTATGTAATTTATTGCAGTGTATATTGTATCATTTGTATCAATTTGATCTTGCCTGTAAACTGGCATGCCTCATGTAACAAACTGTTATTTGAGAATAAATTATTATTATTATTATTATTATAACATTAATTACATAGCTACACAAAAGAAATAGCTAAAAGAAGCACAGAACGAAGAAAGCCGGCCGCCATTACGTACAAAGATGGCGGATATAATAATTCCCGCCACATTCTGAT